TGGGGATGTGTCTGCCCTTCCCTGCTCCTTTTTCTAGATGTGTAATCATCTTGCTCTATACATTTGGCTGCAGTGTGTAGCACATTCAATAGACATCACAATGTCTGCAGTACCAATGCAGAACATCACTAACAGGGTAGAAAGTCCCATGCTGTGCAGGGCAGTGAATTCCAGGATGGATTGCAGTGACAGTGCAGGAGGGGAACAGAGAGGTTGTTTTTATTCTCATCTGTCTGCAATTTCCCACTCTATTTCCTAGGAGCTGTATCCATTTTTGTTATATCTTTAAATACCCTGCTCTGTCTGTGTTTTATAAGGAGCTTATATGGAAATGGGAGTTAATGTGAGACTATTAGAATGGCCACTTTGACAGGGAAGAAAGAATAAAGATTAAGGGGAGAGATTCCCATTTTTCTTCATTTGTTTTAGAATGAAAAGCAACCCATTGTTAGGAGACCATCAAAAGCTTTTCTATAGATCTGAAGTCTGTGCTATTGTGCTGTCTCACGTGTTGCTGTGTCTATGCATACGTAGTGCAGTAGGATGCAATGAATGCTGCCTTCACCAGTCACAAGTGCTTAGAGCAATGTGGTCTGGAGTGGATATTTCTTCACAGAGTATCATGTCCTCTCCCACCAAAACTATATCCTATACAGTGTTTTATAGCTTCTTTGTGGCTGAAGAACTGGGACAATTTGCAACAGCTGCTGGAAAATTCCACTTGAAAAAATTCCTTCCTTTCCTTCCCAGCGCACAATGCCAGGGGCACACTTTTCCTGGTATTATTTTTTTAATCATACTAACGAACAAATCTAGACCTTAGCCTCCCACTGATCTCAGACTTATCCGATTAGACTGATGAGCAATCCAAGAATGATTAAAGTGTGAGCGTGGGGTGCTGTGCTCTGACAGTGATCCAAGCCTGGGTTTCCCATCTATTTCCAATCTATATATTATGGTGGTAAGCACGAGAAAGGAAAGCAGAGGTATTCATAGAATGTGTTCATATTTAATGTCCTAGATCTGCAATCACACACACATGTGGTTTTACTTTACTCAAAAATATAATCTCATTAACCTCACTGGGCTTGAAAGGGGAAAATATTTCCCCTATGCTGCAAGTGCAACCGAGCTGTTTTCCTACATAGTGCTTTTGTTTGATTGCAGGGCTGATTTCGTTGCTCACTTGTATGCCTTGGAATGTGTGGTGAGAAATTCTGATGAGTGATACCAATCTCTCTGCGCTTTGGGCCAACCTTCAAGCTGTGCTGCTCCTTGCTGTACTTTGAAATACAACCATTGTGTGCAGGATTTCATCCAGCCTCAGACTGGATCTCCTTGCCCCAATAGCTGAGGCTCTTGCTGTAGAAAATAAAGCAACGTGAGCACCTGTGTCACATGTTTGCTCTTTCAGCTTTCCCTACCGAGTGAAAAGCATGCAGTGTTCTCACTGGCATCCTGCTTTGGTGATGCCCATGGGTGATATTTGCAGGCAGCAGCCTAGATAGTTGCTCATATTCCTTTATATTTCTGCTCCTCTTTCTACCCCCAACTGAGTGCTTCTGGAAAAGGGCAGGGATTCAAATGAAAACTGCAAATTTGTTTTTACTTTGTGTTGAAATGCTACAGGAAGTTGGTCAGGAGGCTCAACCCCAGGTAGACAATTTAACCTTCAGAGCTCATTTGCAAGAGAAACAAATATCTGGACACACTGGCTGGTCTAGAACTTGCTGAGGAGCTGAGAGAGATTCATGCTACCAGCTGAGATGTGTTTGAGGGTATTTAGGGTGCGCTGGTGTGAAAGACTGGGGCTGTGCCAAGGTAATTGCTTTTTTGCCTGATTCTTTTTCATTTATCAGTGTTTTTCAACGTCTGTATCATTAACACAGAAAATGGGATCCAGTGCACCCTCAGCAAATTTGCTGATGACATCAAGCTGAGTGGTGCAAGCGGCATAACAGAAAGAATGGATGGCACCCAGAGGGACCTGGAAAGGCTGGAGAAGTGAGTCCTGATGAGGCTCAATGAGGCCAAGAGAAGGGTGTTGCATTGGTTTGGGGCAATCCCATATATGTGTACAGACTGGGAGAAGAGCTCACTGAGAGCAGCCCAGTAGAGGAAGGCCTTGGGGTCATTGTGGACAAAAAAGCTGGACATGAGCCGTCAGTGTGCACTTATAACCCAAAAGGCCAACAGCATCCTGGACTGCATCAGCTGAGGGGTAGGGGAAGCCCTAGTACTGCTGCTTGGAGCTGTGGGTGCCCATCCCTGGAGGTGCCCAAGGCTGTGGATGGGGACCTGGGCAGCTTGAGCTGGTGGATGGCAGCCAGCCCGTGGCAAGGAGTTGAGACAGGATGGGCTTTAAGATCTCAAGTTATGCTCTGATTTTATTATTTTATTACTCCTTCTTGAGCAGTTTTCATTTGTAAGCATGGGATGATGCTTAGATCCATCTGCTCCTCTTAGAATAAGCAGAGTGAAGGTCTTGAAGCATCAGAGTCCTTTCATTTTGAGAATTTCCCCCTCTAATTCAAAACCTCCTCTAACGTGAACTGGTAACAAAAAGGGTCCTTCCCAGTTGAAGGCATTATTTCCATAGCAAGACAAGGAGAAAGCAGCAGAAAGAAGTTCATTTGAGTCTAACAGTTCCTAGCAGACATTGCGATAGTTACACTCTGAGAGGGGGGAAATATCTAAGCAGAGCTGCCCTGCTTCCTTGTGGGTGGCATTGTTCTTAGCAGGTGAGTTCTTCCTAGTTGTGGCCAAACTCCGTATGAATTATATCCTTCATGCTAAATGTCAAGATTCAAAAGATTAGGTAATTATCAGTACAATCACTCTTTATACTGGTTATACTTCCTGTACAGCATGGCAAAAACCGAAACTAAGCAAAACCCACAGCAATCCTGAAGGTTTCTGGTTGCCCAGAGGAGCTGTTGGGTGCACCATCCCTGGAGGTTCCCAAGGTCAGGTTGGAGGGGGCCCTGGGCAGCCTGATCTGGCGCAGGGCAACCAGCCCACTGTAGGGAGTGGGGCAGGGGGACTGTAATGTCCCTTCCAACCTAAGCCATTCTGTGATACCATGGTTCTATGATTTGATAAAGGGGGTCTGCATTGTTGCACGACTCCAGATGTATACACTTAATAACGCTGGTTTTGGTCCTGACTCTGCAATCTGTTGTTGGGTTTGATCTTAAAATCACCTGGGCTGAATGTTTCCTCCTCCCATTTCGGCTTATCCAAGGCTGTAACCTCTTCACTACTACATCTGGGAGCTCCACTGACAAGAATCTGCCGCCCAGCATCCTGTGACTGCTCATCTGAAATTTTATTCACCATTTCCCTACCCGGACCTTTGATAGCAAACCATGTGCAAGACTGTTGAGTATGATTGAGTGGCTGCAGCCAGACCAGCGGGCAGCTGAACCCCAGCAGAAAATTCTGTGGGGCAGGAGACATGGGAAAAATAAAAGGTAGAGACTGGGATGACTGTTTGATGTGGGACTGCAAGGACTGGGGAGATTTATGGCCATTAGACACAGAACTAATGACAGTGGTGTAGGAAATGACAGTGAGGCTGTTTATTTGAGTGAGATTTTGGGGTGAAGTCTATTTCCCAAGGAGATGTCCTTATTTTGAACTGGCTTATTTTTATAAATGTTTAATGCAATGTGATTTCTTTGCTGGCACAGGGAGGGAAGCACCAAAACTCCAGCCTAGCATACATGCTTCTTAGGATTCAGATATCTCCTTTATCGTATATGCCAAAAACAAGAATGCAAATAGCACACTTGAAAAATTTGTGAACTTTGAATAGCGTCTATTTGATGTAGGGAAAAAAAACAACATCAACAGCAAACACAACTGTTCTGATAATGACATAAATTAGGTTTTTTTTGGCAAGGACTGCTATAAATGATAATGGCAGAAGCATGATATGCATATTCCAACTGTTATACATGACATATTACCAAATAACTTACTTTGCACGGGGTAATGGGGAGACTGAATTCTCTGGGTAGGGCAGAATGAAGAATTAATGCTGAGTGATGTGCAAAGTCTTCCTAATGGCTGAGACGTGGCCTTCATCATTCGTTGTTTTTCTGTTCTGTGCATATGGTTTCTTTACAGTACTGCTGAAATGGCTCTGTTGCTCAGCAACAGCAAGCTGAAATAGCACCAGTCAGAGGAAAATCTGCTGATTTACACTGGTCATAAAGTGTGTCTTCTTACCAGAGTGCAGATTTTGACAGAAGAGTGAAAGCCAGCCCTTGCCTTTGACCTTCTGTATTCACGGTACCAGCTGGGGAGATGTCAGTCCAGATAAAGAAAGCTAGCCTTTACCTGAGTTTTTGACAGATGGAGTGGTGCATCCTCTGGGCAGAGCAGAACCTACTCTGACACCAGTCTGGAGAGTCAGTGGCTTCTCTAGGATTGAGTTCTGACTTTCTGGGCTCAAGGAGGGCTTCAGCCCTGTCTGTAGGTCTGCAGGCACAAAACCATGCCTTTGGCATGCCTTAGACAGGAGCAGGCTTGGCTCTTGTGCATACTGAACGTTACTATTGCAGCCAAATGCCATAAGTGCAATGAACAGAAGTTAGAAGTTTCCTAAATATCTACACTCCTGCCTTGATTGCATAATTTTACTTCTCTACTTTTCTTAGCTATTTAGGTAATTTAAGAGAGAGCGTCACTTTGGAAACACAGAATCACAGGGTCTGGGAGGGATCTCTGGAGATCACTGAGTCCAACTCCCTTCACTAATGCAGGTTTCCTGGACTAGATTGCACGAGGAACTATGCAGGTGGGTTTTGAATACCTCCAGGGAAGGAGATGGAAGCCCTATGGAAGAGCTTAGAGACAATAAATAGAGAGAAACTTATACCAAACTCAAATAAATGTTTGCTTAAAAAAAAAAACCAAACAACTCCATGTGGTATAATACGGTTATTTACCAATTAAAATACAGTAAATAACACATTTTACAAGCGATCTCTGGGATGTCAATCACACAGAAAAACTGTCAAATACATGAAAATGCAAAGGTTCATCAGAAAATGCTGCCAACAATTCATCCCAAGTGCTTCTCTCTTGGGTCTTTTTGATGCTCATAAAAAGGTGTATATATTTTTTTTTTTTCCCAAGCTCAAAAATCAGCAGTATGAATTGTAAGCTACTTTTCTTTTATCTCTGCCTCAACAGGAACAGGAGTGACATTATGATCAGTGGTTGACAACTCTGCCTTTGTCAGGGGAGTTGGATCCAGGTGAACTTTAAGGTCCCTTCCAACCCAAAGCATTCTATGATTCTATGATTGAAGTGCGTAGGCTAATGCCAACTGAATGAACTAAGCATGGAGGAAAATATCTGTGGTGAAAATGTCAGTATCTGGCCCGTATTCTCTAACTGGTATCTCTGCTACCAATTATTGCCACAGATCTATGTTCACTACTATCTGTGCATCTCTTGGAGGTCTGATTAATCAATCCCATTATGAATGATCTGGTGTGCTGGTAGAAATTATTACGTTGGGTAACTCCCATTGCCTTTTATAAAGGCCTTGAGGTAAAACTGAATGCTCATATTCCCCTAACTGCTTTGCATGACATCATTACTTGAAGTTGATTACATCAATTCAGAGGCTGAGAAAATCAGGTCAAGTTAGTTCTGCTTGTTGGTTGGGCTGAACAGAGCCATTCATTTTTCATAGAGAAGAGGTAGCAGTGGCTTTGCTGCTGTCCCCTCCTTTGCTAACCCATAACCAAGTTTGAGTATTAAGTAAAATGCTGATATAAACATAAAATCATTGCACTTATTGTTATAGAAAAACGTTCTTTTTACTGGCATCTACATTCTTGGCCTTGAATTTTCTGTGCAACAGGGTAGGATTGAAACAATTTTTTTTTCACGAACTGTTGTAATCTAGTACAAACTAGAACACCTCAAATATGGGGCTTATAGGCAATTCCTTGTTTCTCCTTATTTTGACTTTCACCACAAGACTTGCAGGTATTAGCAAAGCTGCTTGCAATTCATCTGTGTTCATCACATGTGTGATGGTTATTAATTCACAGCTTTCTCCACTGGGCTTGAAGATTCTCCAGGAAGATTTCTTCATTTCCTATTTCCTACTTAGCAAATGATACACTTTGTTCCAGTTCTCTGCCACTATGAAGCTCTCTAAGGTGAATCCTATTGCTGTAGTAAGCTGGTCTTTAAGCCTTTAAATAATACTTCTAATAAAGAGCTGAGATATGCTCTGCTCTTCGTTACTTTACATCTGATTACAGTGACTCAGATTTCACAAATAGAATTTTCTTTGCCACCTCTGAGTCATTTCCCCACTTTTTAAAACTCAAGTGTCTTTCCAGGCATATGTGCTTCTAAACTGTGACAGGTTGGTCTTATGAAAATCCTTCCACCACAGCAATTTTCTATCTAATCAGGACAGAACAAAAAATTGTGATGGAAAAAGTCTCCCTGTTCAAAGATGATGGGGCTTTTGGGGTTTTTGGTCTTTTTTTACTTTAGAGCACATAAATATTTATTTATTTATTTATTTATTTATTTATTCTTTTTAGGAGGGAACCTTGTGCTCCTGCCTTACAATCTGTGAAGGATGTCTCTTATTCTGTCTTTATACGTCACAGCAAGACATGTGATGTTTCTTCATCTTCAGATAATATGCTCGATTGGCTTCTGGATAGGTGACTTTGGAGAGCGGAAGCTTGTAGATGGCTGAGTGGTTTGTGGTCATTAACAGAAAGGTCAGCGCGGATAAACAGAAAGACCAGGTTCCTGGTGGCACCCCGAACTGTACAGAAAAGCACAAAACACATATTTTACTGTCTGTTTGTCTTTCATTTGGCCTCTCTGTCACAGGAATAAGTTGGAATAAGTTTTTTCAAGGAAATCTTGGCTTGGCTTTGTACGGAAGGTCTCTGTGGCGATGTAAACTTTCTGTATGAGATTTTGATGTTCACTGGCCTTTAGCATCTATTAGCTTTGGTGAGAAGGATGATTTCTCTGTGCACCTGCAGAGGCTATGGATGGACCTAAGATAGGACCTAAGACTTTGGCTTCATCAGGGGAAGATCATGCCCTTCCAATCTGGTGGCCTTCTACGGTAGAGTGACAGCATAGACAAGGGAAAGGTGACTGATGTCATTTACCTGGACTTGAGCAAGGCCTTTGACATGGTCCCCCACCACACCCTTATCTCCAAATTGGGGAAGTGTGGATTTGATGGGTGGATCACTCGACAGATAAGAAACTGGTTGAAAGGCCACAGACAGAGGGTGGTCATCAATGGCCCTGTGTCAAGGTGGAGGCCAGTAACAAGCGGCGTCCCCCAGGGCTGTGTCTTGGGACTGGTGCTCTTTGACATCTTTAGCAGTGACATCGATGACAGAATTGAGTGCAACCTCAGCAAGTTTGCTGACAACACCAAGCTGAGTGGTGCGGCTGACATGGTGGAAGGAAGGGATGCCATTCAGAGGGACCTCAACAGGCTGGAAAGGTGGGCCCAGGTAAATCTGATGAGGTTCAACACAGCACAGTGCAAGGTTTTGCACTTGGGCCGGAGGAATCCCAGGCATCCATACAGACTGGAAGGAGCGGTCCTTGAGAGCAGCCCTGCAGAGAAGGACCTGGGGGTCCTGATGGATGAAAAGCTGAACATGAGCCAGCAGTGTGCTCTTGCAGCTCGGAAAGCAAATGGCATCCTGGGCTCCATCAGCAGAGGGGTGGCCAGCAGGGACAGGGAGGTGATTGTCCCCCTCTGCTCTGCAACCTGTGAGGCCCCATCTGCAGTGCTGTGTCCAGGTCTGGAGCCCCCAGTACAAGAAAGACAGGGAGCTGATGGAGAGGGTCCAGAGGAGAGCCACAAAGATGATCAGGGGACTGGAGCACCTCCCCTATAAAGACAGGCTAAGGGAGCTGGGCTTGTTCAGCATGGAGAAAAGAAGGCTGCGGGGTGACCTCATGGCAGCCTTTCAGTGCCTAAAGGGAGCCTGAAAACAGGAGGGGAATCAACTCTTTGAAAGGGTAGATAACTGCAGGACAAGGGGAAATGGTTTGAAGCTGAGGGAGGGAAGATTTTGGTTGGATGTCAGGGGGAAGTTCTTTGCTATGAGAGTGGTGAGGTGCTGGAACAGCTGCCCAGAGAGGCTGTGGATGCCCCGTCCATCCCTGGAGGTGTTCAAGGCCAGGTTGGATGGGGCCCTGGGCAGCCTGGTCTGCTATTAAATGGAGGAGGTTGGTATTAAATTGGTGGAGGTTGGTGGCCCTGCCTGTGGCAGGGGGATTGGAACTTCATGATCCTTGAGGTCCCTTCCAACCCTGGCCATTCTGTGATTCTGTGAAGATGGGAGTGCACACAGAAACGTTCATTTACCTTAACTTTGTGCTGTTCTCCTGACTGACTTTTTGTACTTGGTCAAAGGAACTAAACTGAATTTAAGGTTTTTTTACACACGTGGACAAACCTTTTCTCAACTACTTCAGGCAGAAAGTATGGCCTGTGGAAGATCATACAAGCTTCTAGGAAGAAAAATGGTAAATTTAAGTGGGAACACCATCTCCTGGATAGCCCATGATTCCTCATTCAGATCTGTTCTGCCTTCGGCTGAATTGCTTTTTGGATCTTCATGTTTCACCTCAGAAGCCAGGAAAATATAGTATGTGTTTAAACCTGTTTTTGGAAACGAAACCTTAGCTAATAAACTACTTACCACAGACAACATATTCGCCATTGTCGCTCCCAGATAGGCACTGAAGAGTGCTGTGAAAAAAAAAAAGATAATTTCAGGTGAGTTTGGTTGCTCATAGCATGGAGGAGACCAGCAGGAAGAAACATCTCTCATGCTGCCTTGGGTAGCTCAACCAGTGCTTATGAAAATGGCTGGGAAGCCCTCTCTTAAAAATCTTTCCTTTGCAGCATGCCCTCCAACCTCCTGTGGAAAGGGCAAAACAAAGAAGATGTGGAGTGATAAAAAGTGTGAATATGGAAATAGAATCTTCTGAAACATGCACTGACATGGAAATAGGTTGATGGATGGAGTTAAATGGGAAAATAACCCTTCCATTTCTTCTGCCTCTAGGGCTAGAAGGTGGGTCAATGAGATACAAAGCTAAATCTTTTTTATATGCACACTGAATGAGCAATAGTTTAACTCCCAGCTCACTGTGATATTGAAATTTCATACTGAATTGCCTTATAAATAATTCTTCAATCATTCTGTGTTGCTTAGCTCATGCCTCTGGTATCCATTTCAGTAGACTGGGAAAATTATGCTGCCTAATTCCAGATGCAGACTGATCTTGAGCTCCAGTTTTCTTAGTGTACATAATTAGTCTGAAAATGAAGCATCTGATTTCAAAGATGTTAGTTAATCTACTGATTGCTTCTTTTGTTTTGAACACAGCTCTTAGCTGCAAGTCAACACACTGTTTTTATCTTGTCAGGGTGCATTAGAGCAACAGCTCTAACATCCACCTCCACCGTCTGTCTGTCTAGCCCATGTCTGTTCAAAAGTGGCTATCTGGCTTCAGTCCACCTCTAGTATCAGTGCATCTTGTCTTGTTTCAAAAGGAAGTCATGTTAGTAATGAAAATCCATAGGGTACATACCACAGGCAATTGCCAGCAAATGTGTCTGCCAGGTGAATGCGTAGAACATGCCCCCAATGGCAATGCATGAGAGGGAGCTGTTGTAGCTCCATAAACCAGAGTAGATCATGCTAAAAGGTGTTGCTAAGCTCAGTGCTGCAAAAAAAAAATGTCAAAAATATATCATTTCTTAGCCAAACAGCTGAGAAATAGCCCAAACTCTGTTTTTGGGAGCTCAAGCCTGCATGTCTATGCTGAATTCTGGTTTGTTGCCATGTTGTGACAGTCCAAGACTAAAGACACTTCAGACTAATATAGTCGCTGTGGATTTTCCCTGGTACTGCTGAGCTGAATTTGGCCTTACAGTTGCAGCAGCAGATATATTAGTCAGCGAGCGTACATTTAAACTCTGAACGAGTCCCTAAGGCCTGCACAGTCAGACTTGTGGCAATGACTTTTATTAAGCTGCTCCTAAAAACATCAGGATATATCCAGAAATGAAGTATTTCAGGATAGAAAGCCATTTCAGCCAAAAGTGCATTACTTGCTTCCGAAGATTTCCACCGTCGTAAAATGGGGTAAGAGAATGTGGAAGTCAATCAAAAGAATTCTTAAAACAGAAGAGCTCATTTTTTTTTCAAGCAATATTTCTCCAGTGGAAAACACATTTGCAACTATAAATGTTCCAGCCACTCTGCTTCCTCTTTTATTCTCTGCATATACCTGTGGATCAAATAAAGTCCTTACCTGCCAACATCCCCACTGCTGATCCGATTGCTGCATGCAGGCAGATGAGTGGAGATGAGATAAATAGAGCAAGCAGGAAAATTCCCCCAGTCCAGGGATTATCACAGCCATAAACCTGGCCCACCCCAATTGGAATGGATTGCAGCAGCTGAGTGAATGAAAGAGAAAAAAAAAGACATTTTTTTTTTCTTAATCCTCTTTGTTGCTTTGTTTTCCAAAAAAAAAACAAAAAACAAACCAACCACCAAAAAACCAACAAAATCAAGCCAAACCTAGTTTAGGTGGTCGCTTTCAACCTAGTTTGGCTGAGCGGTAGAAATTTTGTTTGTTTCAGGAGGTTTTATGAAAATGGTGGCTTGGATGGGAAGAAAATGATGGACCATTCCCAAAGGAGTGGATGTTCCCCTGCTTTGGACAGGAGAGAAGAACTCAGATTGGCTGGAGGTATAGAGATGGTTTAGAGAAAATTTCCTTCAAACTGCTCTGCTCCATCAGCGTGGAATGGTTCATTTATAGTACCCATAAAATTATGTGTCACGGTAAAGGTTCTTTTGGAAATGCAACCTGTGTGGTTTGCTATTTAGTGCCAATTAACTTCCTTAATCACTCCCTGGGAACCCCTTAAAATAGACCACTGAGCCTTAGGGGAAAGTGCTAACTCTTCTGTCTGCTGTTTACTGTGCTATGCAGCAGAATAAAATGCTTCTTTGGAAAGGTCCCACTTGATTATTAACTAAAAAAAGTTTGTAACATTTCTGTCTTAGTAATATCTGCTTTATCATGCCTTCTCAGAAAGACTGCTTTCTGATGCATTTTTACAAGTACCGTGAGTGGAAAGATAAAAATGACTTATGAGTTAACTGACCCTTAGCATAACCTTTGCTATGAGGTGGTCATCAGTACCTGCACAGTAATGGATAAATATGTTGCAGACAGCCTTTGAAGACTATACTATAAATATTTAGATTCAACTGCAAAGAAATGATACTATATCCCCAAAAATCCTCTTCTTGTTTTCAAGATATCAGAAATCTCAGTTCCTGGAGTAAAGCCTTATGTATTGGATAAGACCTATTTTGTAAGTGCAGTGTAAATGTATTGCCAGGCCTTATTATGGTGATGTAAAGGGGGATAAGACGGTTCCATAATGCTTTTAATGGAGAAAGCTGTTTAGGGCATTCTACCATTGACATGTCAGCGTCTGTCCAGGTGATGTTTGGTGGTGTTGTTGCAGGCTGAATGACGGTTGTAGGGAAGAAGAGGTTATGGGGTCCTGATGCAGCCAGATAGAGGGTCAAGGCCAAGTTGAAAGGCAAGGTGAAAACAGGCAGATCCCACTTAGAGAAGACTGAACCTAAAGCGCTGGTGAAAACAGGGCTGAAAGAAGAACAAAATGGTCTCACTAGGAGATCAGCAAATTCCCTGCCTTCCACAGGTCACTTAGCAATGTATAGATTCCTGCTGTGCTATGCAATATGGTACGTAGTGAATTTGGTGAACCTGAGGGGACTAGGGTCCTCTGGTCCTCCATTGGTGTGGAGTTATTCCCCAGATCAATAGCTGTGCTTAGTTTTTTATTTAATTTTTATTTTCTGAAATACCTGATATGGATTGTGTAGAGGGTACTAATGCCAGGTCTAACTGACCTGGAAAGAAGGCTGTGTGCCTTTGTTCAACCTTAGGGATTGGGTCCATCAGAAGGCAGATATCAAAGGCGTACTTATTAAGGTGAGTATAACACTACATGAACTTCTGGCAGATGGATAATATATGGAATCTAGAAATCTCCAACTAGATATCTGGGGACCAAAGACCAGCTTTCAATATTTTCATTATCCAAACACCTGGCAGACTGTGATGCCATATATATCAGTAAAGTATTATTAGCTCTTTGTTTCCATAAGCATCAAACATCTTATCTCGTGACCACTGAGCAGCCTTTGTGCCTGGTGAGGTAAATTTTCACGGCACTTTTACACAGCAACTTAAATAGATGAAATGCTTGTGGTTGATGATGGCAGGGAATCACAGAATCATGGAATCATAGAATGGCCTGGGTTGAAAGGGACCACAGCGATCATCTAATTTCACCTGAGACAAGAATGAACTGATGCATCACATGGCTAACGTTTAGGGCACTGAATTACATAGGACCTGCCATCAATTTTCCTTTTGCTCATTTGGTTTATTTATGATTATGGGAGTACTACACCTGTTTAAAAGTATAAATTGTAATCCAAGATTTAGAAGCACGTACATGCCAGTCATGTTTCTTTTCCACTGTAGAGTGCATAGCACATAAAGACACAATGAATCACAGAATCACAGAATTGTAGGGGTTGGAAGGGACCTCCAGAGATCATCGTGTCCATCCCCCCATGGCTCAACCATTCCTTCAGTTAGGAAACCCTGGGGCTGGAGTAAGAAGCAGAGATGTCTCACTTACCATGTCACTGACACCAGTGCCACCGGCAGTAGAAGCCACCAATGGTAATCTCCCTTAGCAGAGAAGACTGCTATGAGCAATCCCACCAAGACCCCATTATAGCCATACAAGCCTGCTGCTATGGCCGATCTGAAGAGAAAAAAAAACACAACAAACAACTGTCTTGAAATCTTTTCCCTGCAGGTGCTTCACCTGCATCATCCCTTCCTATCCCATATAACCAAGGCTCTCTGATGCTGACCTGCCAAGGCTTGTGTACTGACCTTCAGCTTCACACACCTGAGCACACACTTGAATCCTTTAAGCACCCCCTACTCTTTCCATTGTTCTTATTCAGTGTCCTCACAGACCAGTTGTAGCTGGTGTTGTTGAGAAGATCAGTCTAGCCCTTACAGTTTCAACTAAGGATAGGTGCTCCTTTCATCCATGATTTTTATTTCACACGTATGCGAAAGTCTAATACAGTTTGACACATATGTGATAGTCTTACCTGTCTTGACCCAGAATAAGTGCTGTTAAGGTTGAGACAACTGTTCCTAAGCAGCCTGTGAGTGTCCACCATGGGTTCTGCACCAGGAAACCAGCGACTACGATCAGACCACTGAGGGGATTATTGACAAACATCACCTGGGAGATCCCACGCAGCACCCAGTCAACAAACTGGATCATGATGGGCTTATCTGGAAGAGATCAAATTAAGTAATACGAATAACTAAAAGCACACGGATGAGACTGATTTAGGATAGGTTATTTATTTTTAAACTCGTAAACAGTTTTGGCAGAGTGACTTTGGCAGCATGACCAAAGCAATGAATCAAAAAGACTCTAAAACCTGACTGAGAATGATTATGGTCTGTATTGAAGTCTTGCATCTGGAAAGCTGAGACGAGCAGAATGGTTGCCAGAGTCCCGTGCTGAAGAGTATCCTGGACCAGTTTCATGTACACTGGCTAATTTATGAGGCCTGTGCCTCAGATGGCAAATTGTACATGTAGCCAATTGCTGATTTATTATGGGGACCAAAGATACTTACCTATGTGTAATTTGGCTTCACAGTGGCGTTAGGTTTGATAGAAATGGATCAGCTGGTAGGGGAGGGAATATTCTGAAGAATGGCAGGGCACAGAATAACCATCCTAGGCTGTGTTCTTTGGGACTACATTCATTTTGTCCGTGGCATGTCAGGAGGTAAATGTCACCTGAGCCATCCTCAAGATTTAAGCAGCAGATGTGGCTCTCTGCACAAAGCTGCATTTTTCCCATAGCACAGAAATAATTCAGGGCAGATATCATTTCTGTTCTGCTCCAGCTTGAATCCTGTTACTGAGAAGTTAGTTATTACTCTTTTAATATAATTCTTCTTTGGACTCCCCCAATTAGTTATGGTGAAATAATAGCTTTACCTTTCAGCCAGGCACCAAATTCCTTCATGTCTCCTGTGATGTACCCAACAGCTCTGCAGACTCTCTTTCCACCTTTACTTAACTGACTTTGCTTCCTTGGCTTTCTTTCCCCCCTGGTTTCTATCTTGACATCAACGCTGTTTTCCATGGTAAGGATCTGAGCCTTTGGTAGAATCCAAGGAAAAAACAAATAACATGCAGTTCATTGCAATGACTCTTACTGGTGTCTGCTTGTTCTTTTTTCTATGTTATTTCTCAAATAGAATCATAGAATGGCTTGGGCTGGAAGGAACCTCAAGGATCACCAAGCTCCAACCTCCCTGCTGCATTCAGGGCCAACAGCCTCCCTATTTAATACCAGACCAGGCTGCCCAGAGCCTCATCCAACCTGGCCTTGAACACCTCCTGGGACAGGGCATCCACAACCTCTCTGGACAGCTGTTCCAGCACCTCACCATCGTCCTGGTAAAGAAATGTTTTATTTTTTCTGGAGCTGAAAGAGGAAAATCCTTCATCTGAACACCTGATTCCCAGGTTTCCTTGCGCATGGTTTCTCTCTTCATGCTCACTTGGGACTTTCCAGACATTCATACAGCCATGGATTTAAACACTCAAAGGAACCACTGCCATTATGTCAGTGTTATTTCATCTGATCTTAACGCCTTGATCAACTGTATTACTTTTTTTTTTTTTTTTTTTTTTTTTTCAGAAATCAAGCAGTTCTAATTTAAAAGGTGACTTTAAGCAGAGCAAGGTGGCATTAACAGACACTGGCTTCACACAAGTTGAAGTTCACCTCAAAACCCAACTTGTTAAGAGTTTCTATCACACTTAAGAAACTGCTTCAATTATTCCATACACCTCACACAGCTCTAGACAACTTCATTCAGTCACATGGCTCAAAGGATTGCACCTAACTATAAAAACTGCTTATAAAAAATGCCTCATAGCTGATTTGTTACTTGTTTTAAGGGCCAGTTCTCAACATGAACTCAGCAAGTTAAAAGCATCCAAACCTTGCCCTGGAGTGTGCTCAGTTTTTTGAGGAGGAAAAGAACTAATTGTTGGTCGTTGTTTAGACAAAGAAAATAAAACCATAGAACCATAGGACCATAGGACCATAGAATCATAGGACCACAGAATGACCTGGGTTGAAAAGGACCACAATGCTCATCCAGTTCCAACCCCCCTGCTATGTGCAGCGTCACCAACCAGCAGACCAGGCTGCCCAGAGCCACATCCAGCCTGGCCTTGAATACCTCCAGGCAGGGATGGGGCATCCACAGCCTCCTTGGGCAACCTGTTTCACTGCCTCACCACTCTCTGGGTGATGAGATGAGATAGAATGTTGAATAAATATAGAAACAGAGATACCTTGGTTCTCCCCGGTGAGTGCAAGAAGTAAAGAACTTTGGCTGTGAGTTAGTAGTTTAAGTAAGGTGATAGATGCACTTAAGTATCGCAGTTGGTGCTCAACTTGCTCAACTCGCATCTTTAGTAAAAGCCTTCTTGGCAGCTGGAGAAAAGAATCTGTATTTCAGAAATAGGGGTGAAAAACAATTAAAGCAGCCTCCTTCCTGGGCATTATGCTTGCAGATGGGTGGAAGATGTGCATCCTGGCCAGTTCCCTGTTACTGCAGATATTATACATAACAATGAGCACTTTATGTCTTTGAGAAATTCCCAACTAATTCAAGGATAAGACCAACATGAAACTAGCTGAAGGCAGGACCACTATGTAGAAGAATGTGGAATCTGCCTTTGGGTAGGACACAAGGGCAAGGAGCTTAGCTTGAGGAGGGAAAAATGAAAAAGATGAGAGCATTGTTAAGGACAATGTCTCAGTGCTGGAGGGCTTTTTCCTGGCTCAGTTATAATTCATTACTTTGATTCATTAACCTTCGCTTTTACCATATTTTATTCTGAAATAATGGAATAAGTGAATTGGATGCACTTTCACTTAAATCAAAATTTCCAGCCAAGATAAATGCTCTTCATTTGGTGAAAGTGCATTTACATTTTCAATTTAAAGAGTCTTTCTCCCTAGGTAACTTAGGCTCTCTCTGACACTAACTCGTAAAACCACACGCTGTTGCTATTGTACTTTCAAAGAGATGCTCTGTGTCCATGTTTCCCTGCATCCTGAGTAGATACTTTTATTGAGAAGGTGCAGAGATATGGAGATGCTCTCCCATGTGGAGTGAAAAGTGCTGGACTCACTTTCTGGTCCACTTGAACAGTGGAATTCTGTAGTGAGTGTCTGAATGGAGCTTCATTTCTTTCTCATTTTTACCCTGCAGTATGTAATAACTGCATACTCCAAGCCCTTTTATTTTAGATTGGATATAAGAAGATTTACAGTAAGGGTGGAGAGGCAGTGGCACAGATTGTCCAGAGGTGTGGTGGATGCTGGAGACGTTCAAGGTCAGGCTGAGCACCTGATGGAACTGTGGGTGCTCTGCAGCAGGAATTTAGATTAGATGGCCCTTATGGACCCCTTCCAACTCAAACTATAAGCTTGGTTGTGATGTGTGCTGTGCAGCTTGCACAAACTTTGGAAGGCAGCACTGCACAGTGCAAGCCTAATCTTGGAGAATTACCCAGTACCCACGTTGCACCAGGGTAAGTTTAGGTTGGATATCAGGAAAAACTTCTTTACAGAAAGGGTTGTTAAGCAGTGGAATAGGCTCCCCAGGGAGGTGGTTCAGTCACCATCCCTGGATGTGTTTAAAAACTGTTTAGGTATGGTGCTCAGGGACATGATTTAGCAGAGGGTTGTTAGAGTTAGGATAGTATACTTGGATTGTGGTTAGACTTGATGATCTTTAAGGTCTTTTCTAACCTGAGCAATTGTATAAATTCATTTGCTCTGGATTTTAATGGACTGAAATGAAGTCAGCTCAGTGAACTGGCATGGCAAAAAGGCCAGGTGAGCCACTTCCATTATTCTGGTCTGAATTTCATCTCTGATGAAGGCTGTGTCAAAGCCTTGCATATCTGTTCTTCCAGAATATTTTCAATGAGAGTGCTTTGGAGGTGATCATGGGCATCACCTGGTTAAATTCATGTCATTTTTTCCCTGCCTGTCAAGTGATGTGTCTCCCAAGGTGGGCTGCTGGAGGGACATCACATGGACATCAGTCCAACTTTTCTGTTACACAACACATGCTACAGTGGAAGGGTGTAATTGTGAAACACCCCAGCACTTGCAGAGCAGCCTGGTGGTTAAACCAGACACACACTTTGGGTTTTTGTGACACAGTGGAGGTCCATACCCAGTTCTGTTGCTAACACCCTGAACCACACCCCAGAAGCTGCATGGTGGTTTCCTCCTGTGCAGTGGTTCAGCTGCCACTGACTGTGGTGATAGGTATTTCTGTCCCTTGGAAACTCTTTTCTGTCCAGAAACCCACAGTATGGAGGACATAGCTACTCAGTCATCTTGAAAAAATATGAAGTACCAGTGAGACACTTGGAAAATGGCAGCAGCAGAGGTAGAAGAGAACCTGTGGGTCTCTTCAAACAGCTTGTGAAATTATGAGACGTGGTGGCTGCTCTGCATGCTCATCCTAAAGGTCTGTGAGCACATTACCCTGCCATACAGAATAGGTAATGGCAGCTCTTTAAGAAAGGATAGAGGACAAATGGCACCTCATCCCAGAGTAATAGAGATGTTCAGAGAATTTCAGGACAGAGATGTCTGAATTTTAATTTAAGGTGAAAAGTGTCCCTGCTGATGGGGATTGCGAGAAGGCTGCTCTACTGCAGGCCTTCTGAACAGCCATTCAAGTGAAGTTAATGTGTCACTTTCAGTCAAAGCACTCTTTTTCCTAGTGCACAAAGAAGGAAAATGGAAATAATTCTGAAAGTGCTATTCTATAGGTACAGAGTACTTGATTTTTTTAATTTTTTTTTATTTTTTTTGTAATTGCTTTTTTTAATTCCTTAAATCCATTTGTCTGTGGTATGTAAAACGCAGTGTTGGTGTGCAACAGCAAGTACTGATTTGTGGTCTGCTGTCAGCACAGAGTAACAATCAAAAGCTTTTTTTTCCCCATAGTGTACTGTGCCAAAGCTGGCTTTGGGGCACTGCTGCTTTCCTGCAATGATTACAGATTTTTTCTGCCTCCCCTGGCCTGGAGGTCTTTGTGCTGCCAGGTACAGATCTCACTGATGTCCACACTGAGGATATACATGCAAGCAAGAGTGAGAGTTCTGCAGCTAGAAGTATCCAAATACTTCTGTATCAGCTGTTAAAGAAGCTCCTAAGAGCAGAAAAGTAAGATGTTTCTCTTGCATGAAAGTGAAATCATCACAGAGGCAGGAAGCCAACATATCGGGTTTCTTTGTCATCTTTTCAGAGTTAATAAATGTCCCGCAGCAAAACCCTGATGTTACACAACCTCATGTCTCCCTAAATCAATTTCTCTTCCACTTATGTACATTTTGACCACGCCATGCCGTACCTATGGCATCTCAGCAATGCCTCATTAAAGCTGCAGCAGAGCAGACTCCATGCTGCTTGCTCTCCTACAACATCTGGCCTGCAAGAAGGTATTCATTCACTTGCTAAAATTAAGGCAAGCCCTGGCATACAGTCATTATGTACATACACAGTAATAGCAGTGCTGTGCTTGCAGCTGGGAAAAGAAAAGGGCTTTTATATGGCTAATTGTTCAGTACTCATAGGTGATAGTTATTCCCATCTTGGTGTCTGTGTTGCTCGGTGTTGTGTTTTACCTCTGAAAATGCAGCAAAGTTACCTAGGACTTCCTCTTCTTTCTCAATTTTTCCCTTTCCCTGATAGAATTTTGCTACAAAATCAAAGGGATAGAAAGTACTGCTGGTATTTGTTTGCCCAAGGAATTGCTGCCACACAATTACAGCCATTGTATCTTGCATTCTCCACATTGTTGCTGTGAAGTGTGCAGGCAGCCAGCTCAGTGTGTGCAGCAAGTTTTTAGAGGAATTCCTGCATCCAAGCACAATAGGAGGAAAGGGCCAGATCCTCAGCAATCCAGATTCTTACATGAACTCTATAATGTTAACAGGGTTTTAGTAAAGCTGCTAAGTGCTGTGTTACATATATGCGAACACACGCATGCATGAGCATACACCCCATAACAGAGAGATTATAATGCACTTGACCCTGACTGAAAAAAAAATTAGCTCAGGTTTTCCCACAGACCATAGATTGCAAAGCATTTGTTCAAAAGGAAGCTCATCCCTCAGATTCAAATACTCATTAAGCCCATTCCCAATTCAATTTTCAGAGATCTGTCTCTGGGACAGAGAAATCCAGAGATGCTATCACATTAACCATGTACTATTACTATCTGGGCATTTTTCATTTTGTAGAAGAGAAAGGCAGTGAAAGGAGGTGTTAAAGAGTCCCAGCTTTTTTTTTTTTTTTTTTTTTTTTTTTCCTCAATGTTCAACCAACTGTGCTAAGAAGTCCTAATAAATCCTCAGCCTGCTAGAAAATTGTCAATAATTGAAATTCCCGTGACATTCCCTAATCTCCATGTCTCTCTTGAGCCTCTGCTGCTCTCACTGAGGACTTTTAAAAGCTCTTTGTTTCATGTTTTGGGAAGGAAGACCTGGGTAAGTTGGTCACTAAACCATTAACAGGGTGCATCTTTTTGGCTGTGCATTAAAAGGAAGGAACAACGTGCTCTTACCTTTTGGATGACCTCGGGGACAGCTGTCTCTTTGCTGGCTACTAAGGAAAGCAGGGATAAGAGTGAAGAAAAGAAATGCCCCACCAGTTTATATAGGCTAGCATGTCTCCTGTTCTGATATTACTAATTAGTTGGTCTCTCCTCCCACTTCGTGAGCTCCAAACAAATGTCAAGAAGGTTCCCTCTTGAATTCCCCACCTTTCCTCTTGTTCTGTCCTTGGTCTCTTGCCAAAAGCCTCTCCAAATGTCGTCTTCCCTGCTGCTTTTTTTTTGTTGTTTTTGAACTAAGTCTCCTTTAACTCTGTCCTTTCTCCTCCAAAATTAAGAGGGACTCCAAACTTCCAAGCAGACTCTAAGTATACCTACACCGGACCTCTCCAATGTTAATCTCTGTTACCCAGGACCTCTCAGCATATTTCTATCCTCCCCTCCTTCCCAAAATGTTGCTTTTACGGTGGTGAGGAAACTCGATTGCAGATGTGTTGATGTTCCTGCTGTGAAGGTTTTAGAGCTACCACAATAACATGCAGCCTGCTGGATTCAGCTATTTCTGGGCAGTTTTTGGAGCCACTATTCTGTTAACATACTGGAATGGAAGACTTGGTTCCACTGTCTAATTCTTCTTTTCTTTCTTTTTTTTTTTTTTACCAGTTGAGGATTTTTTTTTTTTCTCTTTTTTTCTTTTCTTTCTTTCTTTCTTTCCCCCCCCCTTCTGCATTTTTAACATTGCCTCCCTAGCCTGCTGGAGGAATCTGGACTATCACAAGTGTGGCATATTTGAGAAGTTTATAAGACTGTGAAATATCTGTGAAAGGCAGAGATGAAGCTGGAGAGGAGAGTTTTGAAAGAGTGAATAATAGGAGAAACAGCAGCAAAAAATCTTGTGAACTTAAGGAACCTGTCAGGCTAATTTAAACCACAGCTACATTCACTTTAGGACTCTAAAAGAGTGATGGCTTAGAGAAGCAACCCTGCAACTTCATCTGACTGCCAGAGTAATGAGTTGTTGAATAAGAACCCATCTAGCTTTATGACTTTGCTCCCAGCTCAGGGGAAATAGAGTGTGTGTTCCGTGAATGATGTTGTTTGCATTGTGTTAATTCCCAGGATGCATCTCTTTTGATGGAGATGTTTTTAACAGGAGACTGGATTCTCTTTTTCCCCTAGTGAGCAGGGTTTCTGATGATGGCTGTTGGTTTAATGCTGCTGCATGAGCAAGTGCTTCTCTGATCTCACAGGCACCAGTCAGATGCTGCCAGACACTGACTTCGTATCCAGCAGAAAAAGTAGCATGAAGAAAGGAGGTGCTGCTGAGGAAGATGCTCTGCTCCACTTCAGTACATTTTTTCCCCTTCACTATTTGTTTCTCCTCGGGCTGCCTTTGCTCTCTGTCTTGTAAGATGCAACTCAAAAGAAGAGAAATGCAATGGGTAACTCGCACAGGAGATCCCCATATGAAGTGTGGTGGGCTTGACTTTTAGACTTCATGTTTTTCATGTCCTCCAAGAGGCAAGATTCAGTCTGCTGTGTCCAGTTCTGGCGCTTTAAAGAAGTAAATGTGAGATGCAGGTGTGGGATGGATGTCTTGGAGTAAAGGTTTTTGTAATCAATGAGCTGGGTAATAAATAACAAGATCACATTCTGCTGATATCTGTGTAGGAATGAAGTCTCTGACACAGCCTGCTTGGTTAACTGCAGGCATAGGAGACATGAGATTCACTGACTTGTGATAGGGCCGCTGGATTGTAGATACAACCAGCTAAGGGAAAGGCCTAACTGCTACAGCATCTGCATTAGGAAATCTATATGTTTCCAACCATTATCTTCTGAAAAGGACTGGGCTCATTACTAGCAGGCTGAGTGCAGGAATCACTTGCAGGAAGACCTGCCTGCAGGTCTGTGCCCAGGCATTGCCTAAGGGTGGGACTGGTGCAGAAGAGTGGGAATGTTGGAAAATGTATGTGTGTGCAATTAAACCTATGCCAAGTTAGGTGCCAACCTGCCAACCTAAATACTTGATGAAGTATGTCTTCATGCTCTGATCTTTTGGGATCTGGGTTTCAAGGGAAGACTGGAAGAAGCCATTCCTTGAGATGGCTCTGAGTAGTCCTCCTGGACAGAGATCAGTGGTTGACATTGTCAGAAGAGGGTTTGGTGGCTGGATCCCAATCAGACTTAGTACTTGAGCTATTTGGAGAAGTGCCAGAATGATCAGGCAGGAGCTGAACTAGCTGGGCACAGTGTTTGAACGTGTCAGCTCTGCCAGGAAACACTCATATGGCCCTAACCCAGCTTCACACGCTCTGTTTCCGTGCCTTTCTCAAGGCTCTGTTGCCTTCAAGAGGGAAAATCACTTAGCAGATTGCCATTATGCTGATGGTTTTGGCTGTGCTCCTTGGCTCCAGTTGCACTGCATGGATCAGTTCTTCACAGGGAGTTGCAGCAGCTCCTGGACTCAACAGGTACTCTGAAGTGACATAAATCCACATATGCAGCTCTGCAGATTGCTAAAACTCAGAACATATCCTGACTCTGCTAGGCTGGGCTGTTTGTGAAGTGTGGATGGTATTTGCAGGTTATCTCTCACTGGTGTGCAGGTCAGTCATGGGACACCATTAAAAAGAGTCTGACTGCCTTTTTTATTCTCTCATCAGATATTTGCACACAGCGATAAATATTCTGGCAAACATTCTCTTCTCCAGGGGAAACAGTCTCATCTCCCTCAGTCCCATGTACTTCCCAGCTGGGTGCCCTGTGGACCCATTTCTCCAGCCTGCTGAGTTTCATCTGCATGGCAGTATGACCCTCTCTTTGGTGTATTCGCCATTCCCCTGAGTTCTGTATCTTCCATGGATTTGCTGACGTTGCAAATTACCCTACATCCCAGATCATTAAGATAATAACCAATTTTTCATGCAGAGAGTGGTGAGGCACTGGAACAGGTTGCCCAAGGAGGCTGTGGATGCCCCATCCCTGGAGGTATCCAAGGCCAGGCTGGATGTGGCTCTGGGCAACCTGGTCTGGTGTCTGGCAACCCTGCACATAGCAGGGGGGTTGAAACTAGATGATCTTTGTGGTCCTTTTCAACCCATGCCATTCTATGATTCTATTTTTGTTTTGATTCTATGTTTGAATTTTTGTTGGGTAACAACACTATTGACTGGCCTCTATCTGATTTTGTTCCTCTGATTACAGCACTTTGGGTTCAAGCATTCAGGCAGTTTTCAACCCACCTTTCTGCTCACCTATCTTAAGCACTTCATTAACTTTTCTATGGAGATGTTTACAGCAGACAGCCCCAAAAACAGTGCTCCAGTGATTTAAGTCTGTAGGATAACACACGTTATAAGTCATCTCTGCAGCTCACCTAGACTAGCCTCCTGCTGTAATACTTACTGAACTAATAACTCAGATTGCTCCAGTCTCTTTTTTTTCTATAGGTAGGTGATACTCAGCTTGGATGCTGGCTGGGAAGGCAGAAATCGTAGCCAGTAAAGGCTGAGATATCCTGGAGGCCAGGTATCTGGAGAAACACCAGCAAGCCTGTTCCCATCAGTATTTGTGGCCACATTACTTTTATCATCTTGTTTTTATGAGTAAAAACAGAGTGGAAATTTTTGTTTCAGCAGGGAGCATGCAAGGAGTCTGTCATAATCTTGCATTTGTTTGCTGAGCAAAATAGTTTTGGGTTTACATAGAATGGACCAAAAGCCATGCTAATGCAGGCAGCTTCTGACCCTTCAATTGGGCCTGTAAAAATTCTCTGGACAAAGCTGTTATTTGACATTCCTCAGCATGATGGCTGCACAGTACTTTCTCTAGCAAGTTGCTGTCAGGAATACAGGCAAGGAGAGCCGTCCAGCTCTGTTGTTCATCTCCCTCTTGTGGTATGTCTCTGGTACTGCTGCGTATACAGCTATAAAAATCAGCAGATACTCTGTCAAGTTCCAGAAGCCCTGTGAATATCAATTCCCTGTCCCTGGCTTAGCTCCCCAGGTTCTGGGGACTCTGGACACTACTGATGATGCATGCTCCAAATGTTAAGTAGGTCTCATAGCACACACATTCTATGTACTTGCTCTGGAGGCCCTCTCATAGGTTCATACTCTTCCTGCAGACCAATGTGCTGAGTGTTGGGTTAGCAAGCAATCCGTGACTTATTTGTGGATTTTCCAAGGTGTGTATTTAAAATATTGCTAACAGGAGTGAAGAATAGCTTTGAGAGTGCCAGCAGCCCAAGGCCCCACCTGACAATAATTGTGCTTTTGGTTCGCTGTCTAGGCAGCAATGAAGAGCTGCCCCCCAACACAATTCTATTTACTAGCACAGAGGTGGCTGTGGCATTGAGTACAGGAGATATCTTTGAAGGATACCCAAAAAATTGAGTGATGTATCTCAGGAAGCCTGGTGGAATACAAGTAAAAGAAGAACTAAGTTTATTTATCTGGTTGAGTCCCCCCTTTTGAATTTGTTTTCCATTTTCCTGGCAGTACCATCCCTTTTCTTAAGAGCAGTGGGCACTTCTGGGCACAGGCCTGGAAACCTGTGCGTTTGTCTGGAAGACAATAATCTCTGGTACAGCTGTTTTTACCTTCAGAAACCTTCATATCCTCTCCTCTTTCCCTGTTGTGTACATCTGTCCTGGAGGAGGGAAAATCAGTTCTGCTGGCACTTGGTGTGATCCTGTTTGTTCTTTGCTCAAGGTTCTAGGAGCTGGTGGTGAGCAAAGCTCTCTGCCTCATGCCGTGCATCCGAATCTTGAGGCTTCTTGGTTCCAATGTCACTTGTTCCTTTGTAGACTGCATCAGCCAGACTGAAACCTCTTGAAATGCTAGAGAGTTTGAAAGCCAAGGCTAAGCGTATCATTGTGTTTCAGGACTTGTGTTTCGGGAAACTGCAACTCAATTCTTAATTTCAGCTTCATAGAATTGTAGAATGACTTGGGCTGGAAGGGACCTCAAGGATCATGAAGCTCCAACCCCTCTGCCACATACAAGGCCATCAATCATCACATTTAATGGGCATTAAACCATTTAACCAGACCAGGCTTTCCAGGGC